ATTCTGCAGATCGTTCTGAGCGGAATCGAGGAAGCCGCCCGCGTCAGCGGTGAGTTTCGACAGAATGGAGACGTCCGACTCGAGTTGCATGCTCCTCTGTTCCGTGTCCAAGAGCTGAAACGAGTAGGTGGAGAGATGAACAGGTGAACGAAAACGCGAGCACCAGGTACGCAACGGATGCGTTAGGTACGTTTTGTCTGATACTGCATGTTTATCGGAAGTTTCGTACGTGAGATGAGTTTGCAGAATAGTATTTATTAAGTAATCGGATAGTAGTTTAGGGTCCACAGTTGGCGCAGTTTTGCGAGTGCAGTATGGAGATTTTACGAGAAAAAAAAAGTATAGACAGACGATCTCTCTCTTTTCTTCGAGCATTTTCGTGCAAAACAGTCGAGTTTCCGACCGATGGTCATGCTACGTTAGATGCGCACGAAAGTTTAAGATAGAAGGAAAAGTGATCGATTCCGACTTCTCGGTTCTGAAGCGCATTCTGTCTCAAAAGCCACGTTGCATAGCGTATTACGATCCGTACGTCGTCTCTTTCGAGCGTCTCGGCAGTGACATTCGTTCAAATGCGCTGAGATGCCAGGATCCACGTGTGAAAAAATGCAAATGGTGACGAATCTCTACGGCGCTAGTCGGAGGAATGTGACTATTCTCACACGTGGATCTACGTTTAATGGAGATGAATGTTCGTCAGTAGCTACGAAAACGTGTACGGTTAAATATGATGAAGTAGTATCATAGATAGGAGGAAGCGATGTATGTGGGCTGTTAGGACACTGAGAAGCGAGTATCACTGTACGGATCATTAGAGGAGCCAACAAGACAAATTTGTTATTTAAAATATCTGGTAAATACGTCAAAGGGACCACACGTAACCCAACCTTTTCTCGAAGGCTCTTCTCTGACTCGGGTATCTGAAACGCCACAATTTCTGTTCAAAGTCTGTCGTTTTCGCGCGATAATTACGCCGGTATCGCACACACTCTAATATTCTTGCTACTAGTAAAAACTTTTATTCTCTCTCATATTTCTCTTTATCTTACGACTATTTTTTTTTAACTTACATCTTCGCCCTTTGTCGTAAATTTCGCGATAACGCAAAGTTGCAAATACGTCTAAAAAAAAAAATTGTAAGATACGAATAAATGTGTACCTTGTTCCTCAGATTTGTCAGCTCCGTTCTTAGCTGCTGCGTGGAGTCGGACACGGTTAAGCCGTTCTCCAATTCGGACAGATCTTTCTGCAATTGATTAATCTCGCGAGCGGACATGGTGCTCCATTG